AGTTGACTGCAGTAGAACTAAGGGTAAGAGATAGTGAACTGAACAAATCAAAATATCACTGATTTTCTACTAGTCTAAGGCAAATGATGTTAGATATCACTTGTTAGGGAAAATTTCCATAATGATAGAAAAGTTGGTGTTTTCTTCATGGGTTCTATATCATATTGAGAATTACTAAACATAGTTACACAATCAAACGATTGACCAACTTCAGACTATGGCACAATTAAGTAGAACAAAATATCAGCACACATCAATTATTTATCGTTTATTGATTTTTTTAATGTTTAGATCATTATACTTTGTGAAGATGTATATATGTATGTAATAATGAAATGAAAGTGCAGTCATAATTTTACCAATATTTTTCTTTAAAGGTTATTGATTTTATTCAAATTGGAAGATTTATAAGAAGGAATACTAGAACGCAAGATCTAGAAAAAGATAAAGAATAAATATATCTGAGCAATTGTGGACGATTTTAAGTCATGTTACTTAACGTCTATCTCTACCTACTGATTGCTTCTAACACATAGAACCTAATCAAGTAGTTGACATCTGTCAACATGGCTAAGAATCACAGACAATTCGTTCATGGATTGATGCTCAGTTTTAGTTTGGCCATTTCTAACTAGTCCTTACACAAACAATCTGGGTCGAACCCGAATAAGCAGATAATGTGCTTGATAGTAACTAAATTACATTCAGATGAGGGGATTTGAATTCAGCTCTTTTAGAATATACACGATAACTAAACAGTTTTAGAGAATTAAGCAATAAAGGTTTAGCGTCTTATTTTTTCGGCTAGTAGTTGCTGTAAACTGGTTAAATTTTGCCAAAAAATCTTAACGACGTATTCATTAACCCAAATGACTTAATAACAAACACGGAAACTGGAAGATTTCTGCGAACTGGAAAATAACCTTTTTTATCATCTATTCCATCAAGTCAGTCAATAGTGAACTATGCAGCTAATACAATTTACTGTTGAATGTATAGTGCACAGTGACAGTGAGCGTTTCAAATGTTACCTTCAACAATCACAGTAAGTCTTACTTTAGACATATGGTGCAGACAATATTTTGAACAGTTATCTAAGAAGATGCAAATAAGAATATTAAAGAGGAAGAATGTATTTGTAAAATCTCAGCGAATGAATTTTGAAGTAAGTCCAACGTTTCGCCTGCCAATCTAGTTCAAGCTTTTTCAAGGAAATATAACCAAACATCAAAATTATCGAATATAAATAGGTACATGGTTCTCCGAAGACCGAAGACAACATATGGTGAATGAAATTTCTTCTCACTTCCATATACATACAATCTGTCATCTTAACATTTCTCACACCATATGTCTCTTACACACTAATGCAACTACCTACTTTAAACAGTGTTAATGTTGATTGGATGACTTATTCAATAAACAGTAAACCGGAGAACCATGTACCTATTTATGCTCGATAATTTTGATATTTGCTTATATTTCCTTGAAAAAGCTTGAACTAGATTGGCAGGCGAAACGTTGGATTTACTTCAAAATTCATTCGCTGAGATTTTACAAATACATTCTTCCTCTTTAATGTCTCACATTAACTCGGCGCCCAAATACTGTGAAACTAATCGATCAAATTTAGACGAAAGTTCTTATTTAGCAAATAATAATAATTGGAAAATCTATCATGATACAATCATGTTAGGTACGAACAAGATAACACCGATAGTAATGAATAGTAGCCACGTAATACTCAATGCTGACTGAAGCTGCAAATCTGAAAGATTAAGTAATGACACAGTGGTCTGAAGATGAAAATCTACTCAGAAGGTTAAAATATCTCAGATACTATCTCTAAGACTAAACGATTCTTTTAGCATTCCTTAACTCTTAATGGATGTCTAACTAGACTTAGTCCGCGATGTAAACTATGACATTCAATAATCTCCAAAATCCACCTAAACTAATATCAGTTTTAAAACAGTGGAGTTAAAAACTGTTACACACTGAAATATACTAAACAAATGTTCAACGTACTATCCTTTTAGCACAGAATACACATATATCAAATGAGGCTGATCAATTGCAGTATATAAGATCAACGGAAAGATTCAGACAACCAAAACAAATGAATTAGGATTCACTTTATTGCACAAGCCAATGGCTATTCAGATTCAGTAAATGAGTGGATAAGTGTTGGACGTTTGAAGAGAGAGGTGCTGGGTTCGAGTCCCAACGTAGACACCAACATTCGCAAGAGTCCTACACTAGGACGAGACGGTATTCAGGTGCATGGTTGTTCAACATAAATGAGTGCGCGAAGTCAATAAAATTGAGCCATCTCCATAGCCCTATACTGAAAATAAAATAGTGTTGAATAATTTCAAAATGATTGGGATAGTATTGTGTTATTAGCTTTCTACAAAAATTAAATATCCCCTGGTTATCTAAAAGGACTACAGAAGTCAGCCAAAAATTCAATCATACAACATCTAGTTAATTTCAATCACTTTGCTTCGACAAGATCCTTTTTCTAGAAATCATAAATACAGTCAAAAGAGTCGACTGAAGAGGAATGCAAATGAAAAGCCATAACTATCCACTTATCCAATCCAAAAATTAAAGTACAAAAACAGTATATTCAATCCCTCATTTTATATACAGTCTTAAGATTCCTTTCTATCTTCCATAATCTATTCCTACCAAATTATTTTTTACAACTATTAATTAATCATTATTACCTGTTATATCCCGATGAGAAGAATGAATGTTAACTGTTGAGGTCTATTTATGGACTAATAATATACATTTTTTTATCGTATAATTGATAAGTAACTAAACTATTCATATTCGTGTTCCTCTTATTATGAGCTTTATCTCAACCTATAAACTATTATTATACGATTTACCATTCTTGAGTTATGTCCAGTCAATTAATTACAGTCTTGCACATTCACAGCCACTTTGGCTAGATCGTGTACAAATGTTATTTTCTATTTTACGGTACAATGTCGTCTGTTTAGTTGGTATATAAACCCAGTATGCTTGAAAGAAATGATTCATATTGCAGAGGCTGAGATTGATGTTCTGGATTTAACAGGCCGGACTAGGCAGAAAGACCGATAAGGAGTCTAGACTGCTCGTACTTGTTTTATGCGTCATTGGTCCGGTCGATAATTCACTGTTCTCTAATTGGCGGTAACGTCAGGGCACACAGGCCACAAGTTATAACATGACCTTAATAAGTACTTTTTGTTATGTTGCAATAAGTAGAAAAATCGTATTTCTGACGATGTTTTGTGACTTTATGTAAGTCACTTCTTTGAGTAAATAAATAACCGAACATTAAACTAACACAAATTTAAATCGTACCCCCCCCCAAAAGCTCAATTTATTTAAAACTATGAGGTTCAACTTTGGCATGGATACCTACATTATCACCTTTATTTAATTAATCTGATCTTAGTATTTAACAAGTAAACAGTTACCTTCACCTTAACATTTTTCATTGAAATATTATTATAATATAACTTTCTTTTTAATATCTGATTTTTTGTAAACAATTATTTTTTAATGGTTAAGATCACGAGCCAGTTGAAACAAGACCACCATGGAAAACCTGGAATTACTGGACGATCGTTTTGTCCTATTGTGGGACTCCTCAGCAGTGCGCATTCACAACCTCGCCCCCTGCGAGATCAGAACCCAGGAGCTACTGGTTTTGCGCGCGAGCACTTAACCACTAGACCCCTTAGCCGGCATCCAACGGTGTTAATGTCTAACTCCAACTAATCCACGGAATTGAGCGACACATCCACTATTGTCTTCAGTGAGTTACTATCTCACAACAGACCTGGTTGAACTCCACTAGTCACTACTTCTCACTAGAACTCCAGGATATACCTCGTGCAGCCAGTCACTAGTGAGCATATGTTGATTAACATCAGTTGGGTTTTGCGGATATCATAGTAATTTCAATGGTTAAGATCATGAGTTTTTCAATAACATTCAATTTTAGGATAGGCAACTGTTTTAAGCAAATAAATAAGTTTGTACAGTTACAATAGAAGGAATCATTAACAAGAAAAATTTTTTTGTTAATTTGTCTTTACAATCTAATGGTTGAAGGTGTATGTTTTAAATTATTAAGAAGTTAGGATAAGACTATAATTTATGAATGACATTTGAGCGCCACTAGGATAACCTTGAGAGTGTTCACCTAATAACTAGGACTAAATGAAGATTATAAACCAGTGTAAGGAATTAGAATCATGAGTTACAGTTGATGGTTAAGGTTAGGAATTACATTTAGGGTTTTCATTACGAACTGACATCAGCTATAATGCTAAAACTCTATTTATCCAAATGACTGAGTGAATTTCGCACCAAAATCTGAAACCTGTTATCTTATACCTGATTGCTTCATCCATAAATTATAGTCTCGCTGAAATTAGTTTAAAGATTTTTCTGAAATTTCACCGTATTGTTCAAAAATCTCAAGTGAAAATGTTTGAAAACTGTGAAACTTATTTTGCTTCGATAAAACAGGAATATTGCTTAGAATAATTGGTTGTAAAATAATGAATAAGAATTGTAGTCCAGATAGATGCTTTCGATGTTCTTGTTTTTTACTCACCTGAAAAGTTAATAATGAGTGGTCTCTGAGATAACGAGCATAGAATTTATATTTAAACCACAGAAGTGACATCGATCTGCTAATAATTTCCATTGTGCACAATTAAAAGTTGCTAAACTTTAACACCTACTTGCACAGTGTGGTCCAAAGATCCCGACGATACTGCTGAGACAGTAATGGCTGAATTCAAACAGTTGCTAGCAATTACGAGATAGGAAATGTTGGACTTTACAAACATATAACAAAACTATTGCCCAATTAAGGTCCTAATGGGACTAAATGTTGTTCACGTGAAATTATTAATGAATACATAATGACGTTGTAAACTAAAGCGAAAATTGAAAACACACAGTCAAAATAAAATGATACATACCTTGCCACATGCACGACAATGATGTCGTCGATTAAGTGTAGTAAATTCTGTACAACAATTTGTACACATAGTGGATGATTCATCTTTAACCCATTGAGCTGCAACTTCACCTAAATTATTTGCACTCATTATTGACTTCTAATGTTTAAAAAGAAATTTTAAAAGATTAAACAGAAAGTAGTAAGTGAGATTCTTCCTCATCAATATGCATAAAGATGTTTTTAATGCTAATAAACAGATATACGCTGTAGGATTTAATTTGCCTACAGATTAATTTTTTGAATAAGTCCTTATACTGTTGCGCATAGAGTTATTGCAGTGCTATGGTCAAAACAAGTAACTATGCATGCAGCCAACAACTATCATCTGTTTCTAAAATTTAACTTAATACAAATTGTACAAAACTCAAAATGGTAAAGTTAATTACTAAGAGAACAATAAACACACATATGCCAAACAGTAACAGGGACACAACACAATGATTCAGTGACGTAAGTTCTCTAGCTCGACTTCTTTCTCCGATTATGTTATATGTAACCTAGCTAACTCCAAGTTTATCAGGGGGTCGGTCTTCAGCTCATTATTATTAAGTTGGTCTTCAAGAATAAGATAAATGCTGCATTGATGGTGATCGCGTATAATGGCGGGAATCAACTAAAGCTGGAAAAACCAACTACTATTAAATTCCAATTGAATGATCTAAAAGCGTCGCGTTTGTAACGATATATGAAGACCCTAGGCTCAACTACTACCGGTAAGGAAGGAATCATGATTACATAGTACCAAGTTTCAAATCTATATATAGATTGTCAAAGTTGATTCAAGGGACTTATTATGTATTGGCATACGCTAACGCTAATATGTCCTAATAGCCTTCAAAGTCTGCTATAATACATAAAATGTTCGAATATGTTTGTAACCACCATAATAACTTATCAAATTGGTCTTATATATTGCCACCATCTGATCTGAAATCCACAATTAAAATGAAGTAGATAGATATAGATAAACGTGTAAATGACTACAAATATTGTAATTATATCACACTAATTGTAGGAAGATAGATATCAGAGTATTGAAAGAAGAGTAGTTGTCATTACTTAAAAGTAACTAATATTAATATCATACAAATAATAACCAACTTACTTTTTCATTGAAACAATTACTATTCGGTTTATTACATTCACAATCAATAGCCTGTTGAAGTTCACGCCACCAAAGTTGTTTTTCGTCATCATTTCTTGAAATAAAGTAAACGGTAATTGAATAAAAAAAACCGAAAGACAAGGGATTAGACGTTTTTATGGATGCAGCTATTAGGTGTTTACCACACATCTGGACGTTTTATTTCCTAAGACAAATCAAGTTATCAGAAGGGGTTTTTGTAGATATTATAGTAATTTCAATGGTTGTGACGAGTCAGTCAAAGCCAGACCATCATGGAAAACCTGCAAGCATTGGAAGGCCGTTTCGTTCCAACATGGGACTTCTCAGAAGTCCGCACTCGCGATCTCGCCTCGAGAGATTTAAACCTTATTCTAACTGCCAAAGTTTCATGAACCAATCACAGTAAGCATTATTTATGTATTCACTTTTTCTAGGTCACATTTAAGTAGCTGAACACGTATAAAAATGTTTAATTATGGCACGTTTACTCTACTATTTTTAACAGAAAATACCAGACCAATATTTTGACCTAATAATGTTTGAAATAGTAGTGTAAAGTATGACTGATGAATACAATCCAGTAATCTAAGGTAGTTTTATTCATTTTATATCATCAATTATATCTGTTGTGTAAACGTTAATAATGCTACCATCTTAAATGAAAACTAGCCACAAAAGACGGATTTTTCACCAACTGAATCATAGTATCTCTCAGAAGACAAGACAGAAGACATTTAACTAATAAAACGATCACTTGAAAAATATCATCCCAGCAGATTCCATACTGTTCACCATTTTATCGAAGCTGGGACTGAGTGGAGAAAGCAACGAGATAGTCAGTATACGGTGCAATTTTTTTAGTATGAAACTCAATTGTATAAAACTAAAGGCTGTTTTTCTGCCACAATGCTTTGGTTGGGGTCTTAGAGATCATATGACTTAGTGGCTTGAGACGTTATCAAACATGATTTAGAATAGAAGCCAGTAGTTATATTGATGTAGCATTCTATTGCAGTTTTCATAAATGTGAGATGGATTTTTCTAATTGAGAGGAATTTATTCAAGTTGTAGTTTTATTAGACTGTATTTTTCTTATCAGATACCAACCTTGTTCGTTTATTCCTTGATTTCATAAATGATAAGTCTTCTAATTGAACGCTAGATTCGGTTCCTAAGGTCTTCTAGTAACCCTTAGGCTAGATATACACAGCTACTTGAACACGAGAGAAAAGATGAGAAATATGGAAGAAACGCTTTGCTCCAAAGGTTCGTTTATGTACAGAAAATCTATGTTTTTTATAGTATTTTAGATGGCCTTAGGTTTCTGGAAAATTCTGGAACGCTACTAAACATAAGAGCAGTATAGGTAATCATCCAATCAGAAACTCAACATGTGACTTCTCACTATCTAGATGTTTCTGGCAAAACTTCTACTGAATGGTGATTGGATAAGATGCTTCTCTGCGTTTTCGGAGCCTTTTTTCGATGAGTTTTCTGGATCTTCCCAACAATAAAGTTTTCGACTTTTAATTCGATTTGAAACGATTTAGATTGTCCAGTTGTTCATATTGCCTGAAATTCGATCAGTATTAGTTGGCAAATGTGCATCCTGTACGAACTGGCTCGATATAACAATCATTTCACAAGCTTATTTACAATAAATGAACTGTGGCCAACAGTTAAATCAACGAAAAGTATTTTATCCTATTTTGGGACTCGACAGCTCAATATACCTGCATCCGAGCTTATATTCGTCTCAGTATTCAAACACAGCACCTTTCACTTCAAATTCCATCGGATTATCTATTTAGCTACTACGTTCAGATAGCCACTTACTTTTATGACGGGTACGAGTTTTAATTCAATTTAAAGTGATTTGAATTATCCCATTGTTGATATTTTGACTGGAAGTTGATCAGTCTTATTTTGAAGTGAAAGGTACTGGGTTCAAATCTCGTAATGGACACCAACTCTGGGATGGAGGTATATCATCTGACAAACCCCAAAATATGAAGAAACGGGCCTCCTAGTTTCGACTGATAGCCATAGTCCATCTATTCTTTATTTCCCACTTTCGTTTCAAAATACTGTTGTTCTATTTCCTGTGGCTCATACTTTCGACAACCAGTTGTATCAAACTCTGTGTTTTACATAAAGGATGAGATGACTGCAGAACCGTACCATAAACAGACATGTCCTTTTACTTTGGTTGGTCTTAAATACTTCCAACACAAGTTTGTACTGTTTAATGAGTGGAAACTTTTCAATACTTGATTCTCAAGTGAAACTTCATAATGTAACAATGTATTTCAGCCAGTCAGCTACAATGTAGAACCAGGCACATATATGCATCGGTCCAAGTTGCCATACCTCATTAGCAACTTGGACCGATGCATATATGTGCCTGGTCCTACGTTGCAGCTGACTGACTGACTGACCGCATTAGCACAACAAGATGAACACCGAATTCATAGAAGCAGTTAATTCAGTGGTCGTAATATATAAAATAAAGATTGAATATAAGGATATAATACAAGAAGAAAGAATTAGTTGGTAGAAAGAAAGATATAAAGCAGTTTTAAGGGAAGAGAGAGATTTTATGCAATGTATTTACCATTTAGTTACCAATAAACAATGGATATAGTCTTATATATGGTCAACTGTTATTCAAAAGGAACCTGACAAGCAAATAAAGGTATTTATGATACTCTTCATTTACTGCAATGTGACTATTCACATTTGATCGCTTATCGAATTCCTAATGCCAGCTTGATCAGTTGACTGCAGTAGAACTAAGGGTAAGAGATAGTGAACTGAACAAATCAAAATATCACTGATTTTCTACTAGTCTAAGGCAAATGATGTTAGATATCACTTGTTAGGGAAAATTTCCATAATGATAGAAAAGTTGGTGTTTTCTTCATGGGTTCTATATCATATTGAGAATTACTAAACATAGTTACACAATCAAACGATTGACCAACTTCAGACTATGGCACAATTAAGTAGAACAAAATATCAGCACACATCAATTATTTATCGTTTATTGATTTTTTTAATGTTTAGATCATTATACTTTGTGAAGATGTATATATGTATGTAATAATGAAATGAAAGTGCAGTCATAATTTTACCAATATTTTTCTTTAAAGGTTATTGATTTTATTCAAATTGGAAGATTTATAAGAAGGAATACTAGAACGCAAGATCTAGAAAAAGATAAAGAATAAATATATCTGAGCAATTGTGGACGATTTTAAGTCATGTTACTTAACGTCTATCTCTACCTACTGATTGCTTCTAACACATAGAACCTAATCAAGTAGTTGACATCTGTCAACATGGCTAAGAATCACAGACAATTCGTTCATGGATTGATGCTCAGTTTTAGTTTGGCCATTTCTAACTAGTCCTTACACAAACAATCTGGGTCGAACCCGAATAAGCAGATAATGTGCTTGATAGTAACTAAATTACATTCAGATGAGGGGATTTGAATTCAGCTCTTTTAGAATATACACGATAACTAAACAGTTTTAGAGAATTAAGCAATAAAGGTTTAGCGTCTTATTTTTTCGGCTAGTAGTTGCTGTAAACTGGTTAAATTTTGCCAAAAAATCTTAACGACGTATTCATTAACCCAAATGACTTAATAACAAACACGGAAACTGGAAGATTTCTGCGAACTGGAAAATAACCTTTTTTATCATCTATTCCATCAAGTCAGTCAATAGTGAACTATGCAGCTAATACAATTTACTGTTGAATGTATAGTGCACAGTGACAGTGAGCGTTTCAAATGTTACCTTCAACAATCACAGTAAGTCTTACTTTAGACATATGGTGCAGACAATATTTTGAACAGTTATCTAAGAAGATGCAAATAAGAATATTAAAGAGGAAGAATGTATTTGTAAAATCTCAGCGAATGAATTTTGAAGTAAATCCAACGTTTCGCCTGCCAATCTAGTTCAAGCTTTTTCAAGGAAATATAACCAAACATCAAAATTATCGAATATAAATAGGTACATGGTTCTCCGAAGACCGAAGACAACATATGGTGAATGAAATTTCTTCTCACTTCCATATACATACAATCTGTCATCTTAACATTTCTCACACCACATATCTCTTACACACTAATGTAAATACCTACTTTAAACATTGTTAACGTTGATTGGATGACTTATTCAGTATACAGTAAACCGGAGAACTATGTACCTATTTATATTCGATAATTTTGATGTTTGATTATATTTCTTTGAAAAAGCTTGAACTAGATTGGCAGGCGAAACGTTGGATTTACTTCAAAATTCATTCGCTGAGATTTTACAAATACATTCTTCCTCTTTAATGTCTCACATTAACTCGGCGCCCAAATACTGTGAAACTAATCGATCAAATGTAGACGAAAGTTCTTATTTAGCAAATAATAATAATTGGAAAATCTATCATGATACAATCATGTTAGGTACGAACAAGATAACACCGATAGTAATGAATAGTAGCCACGTAATACTCAATGCTGACTGAAGCTGCAAATCTGAAAGATTAAGTAATGACACAGTGGTCTGAAGATGAAAATCTACTCAGAAGGTTAAAATATCTCAGATACGATCTCTAAGACTAAACGATTCTTTTAGCATTCCTTAACTCTTAATGGATGTCTAACTAGACTTAGTCCGCGATGTAAACTATGACATTCAATAATCTCCAAAATCCACCTAAACTAATATCAGTTTTAAAACAGTGGAGTTAAAAACTGTTACACACTGAAATATACTAAAACTAGTTAAACATTCAACTAACTAATTTTTTCAGGGTACTAAGTAGAGGGGTAAAATGGCTGATCAGATTGCATATCTGTTATGTCCCGACAAGAAAATTGAATGGTAACTTTTGAGATCCATTTATGAACCAATAATAAACGTATATTTTTACTGTATAATTATTAAGTAACTGAACTATGCATATTCATATTCCTCTTATTATAAGCTTTATTTTGACCCATAAACTATTATTATACGTTTTGCCATTCTTGATTTATACCCAGTATATTAATTACTACCTTCCTCATTCACAGCCACATCTGGCTAATTCTTGTACAAATGTTGTTTCATATTTTATTGGTACGTTGTGGTCTGTTTGATTGGTATATAAACTCATTATGTTTTAAATATAATGATTCATATCGCAGATGCTCGGATTGGTGTTCTGGACTTAACTGGCTGGGCTAGACAGGGAGCAAGACCAATCAGGACTCTAGGCTGCTCGCACGTGTCTTACGCGTCCTTGGTCCGATCGATAAGTCACTGCTCTCTAATCGGCGGTCACGAGTTATAACAATATCTTCACCGGAAGAAATGGTAGAAATATATATTAAGTTTGCGTAAACACTGCCTACAAAGATGTTCCATGTTTCCCAGCGCAGGATTAGGTTGTGAGAGAGCTAAAGGAGGCCAAACGAAGACATAGGATCAGTTTATGAAAATATTAACTATTGATTTGAGTCATGTTGGTAGTTTTCAGCTATATGGTTGAGGTTCAGGCAATTATCATGGCTAATAGTTTGGTACGCTATCAGTCATGGCTCAAAATAGGTCACTGTGGAACAGATGCATTTACTTTTCGTCACTCTTTAGATCTTGAGTTTTAAAATTATTTCATACCTTTCAATCTTCGAATTCAATATTTCGAATGATATTCGCTATGCCTAATCGTTCCTACTACCAGTAATACTCTTGCTACTTCTACTAATCTGACATTTGATTTGATGTGATGTGAAAATTTGAACAAACATATATATATATATATATATATATATATATATATATATATATATATATATATATATATATATATATATATCAAGTTCTGATATTTCTTATGACTGATTAAATTGAAACGAATGATTTTATAATTTTAAAAAATAAAGCTTACTTACGAAAAAGCAACCTCGACGCATAGCTCTTTCGCTTTAATTCTAAAACAGTGTTCAACATTGATTTCTTCATCATCTTTGACTTCACATAACTAATTGATAAAGAAAAGTAGTATAATTTTGAAGTTGAAGCATATGTTATTTGTATAAAGTCGGATATAAGGTGAAGTGCTAATTATGAAGTTCTCAATCCCCACATGATAAAATTGAGTAGTAAAGTACTCATTTTTGCCATAAGAAGAAAAACCGAAGATCCAATTATTATTAAAAGCTACAAGATTATATATATAATATCATTAACCTCATTATTGACATTCACTGGATGGAAGCGTCAGTAAATGTTTTAATATTTCTCGTTCTTGAATACTGATAATATTTAACGGTTTTTACTCAAGACTGGGTAGATAATGAAAAGACGTGAATAAAGGTTACATATTAGATGGAGCATGAACGTTGACAAGTTAAGAGTTTATCATCCCGACGTAGATTCGATCCGACAAGCTATGAATCTAGCTTGATTAAATATTCATATCACAAGTTTATGGTCAACGAATAAACTCTAACACAGGTATGGAATAATAAATCTTTCAGTAAAACGGTTAACCTTAAATGCTAATAGGGAGATATGATAATGAACGTTGTATGTCACAATTGTTTTAAGTCATAGACAAGAGGGACCGGATTAAATTAACTAATGTAATTAAAGAAAATGCATCGAAGACATCGAGTTTACGATATATTTGAAAACCACGTTCTTGCTTTCATTATATCTTGCTACGTTTTATAAAATATACCATCATTGATCTATTTTAATCTGGAATACCGGGTAATATCGGTATCCCTGAAACTGAAACGTTGACAGTAAACTAGATGTGATAAATTGATTACACGAATTTCACCATTAAATTGGTGCCATTTTTGTTCTGAAAAATAATTTTGATTATCAGGAAGGAGTTTGTGAATGGTGTTTGTTCTGAATATAGTTTATAACACAACTTTAAAGCTAAATATTACCGAAAACTATAGGTTAGTTTACTAATTTAGTGCAAGAACTTTTACTAATTTAGATAGACTTAAGTATATGAATCATGTCTGAAACAATAGATCTTTAATTAGGAAAGTCTATGAACACTAGACAAGATCACCATGAATTTAGTTAATGACAATGTCTTTCAAAATGATATACACAATTTCAAAATAGAGGACGACAACAACACAAAAACATCAGAGTGCAACGAACCCCATCAAATAATTAAGATGTTCACATAAATTATAAGAAAACTTACTGTCATTCCAGCCAAACCTATCTCTGACTTAACTTGATAACGACCAACGGCATTAGGGGATTCAGTCATGACCAAATATTCGGAAAACTGAAAATAAGGAGACGACTTGAAATCTCCATGTTTTAATAAAGCGAAAAGACGAACTGTAAGCGATATGCTGGAAAAATACACCTAATTATAACTAAATGACGTTATACCCTGTGATATGAGTCACACTTCAGAGGGAAATAGTTTTCGTCATGAACATCTGATAGTGATTGTCAACCTGCTGAACATTTCAGTACGAAAATTATAAACTTAATTGTAAAAAGGTTTATTAGCTGAAGTAGTTTTGATTTATTGTGCACCATTTGACTTGTAACCTGGAACATGAGTAGTGTAAAAACAAGCACATGGCTTCGTCGGGTTTCTACACTGTTGAGGGATATTTTTAAATGCTAAGGTAGTGTAAATATGCTAATAAAATCATTGCTGAAGATGAAGAGTTCGTAACACTTCTGAATCACTGGTTGTCCTTGTTTATCTTTATACTAGTGGACTGAATTACTAATTTGATGCAGCTGTAACCATTTACTCAATGAATTGTTGAGTAGAACTAATAAATATCCTATTAGAGTGCGGATGTTGGCGTTTCCTATTTGGCACAGAAAATATTTGACACAAATGTGCTGCCTAAAACGAAACGAGAATGTGGTGAATAGAAAATACTTTCATAAAACGTAGTGCCTATATGAATCTCATCTATCAAAGATGTTCAAGTTGATGAACGATGTTCCAGGGCGTATTGAATACACAAAGGTTCATTTTATTCCAACGGTTACTAAACTCCAAGGGGTTCATTCAGTGAACAAATAACTGATAGTGTTGAGGTAAATAACTAATTAACATAGGTTTGATGAGCAATCAGGTGGACCATGAATGTGTCAAACTAAGTAGTAAGAAACATTAAAAGAGTTAGAAACTTATTTTTCGTCAATCTTAGACAATATATATAAGTTAGTGATTTAACCATGTGACAGAAAGAATAGCTTACAAGAAATAAATATCTATCCAAAAGCCGTCTATGTATTGAACGTCTAGGTAGTTTCTTTGCGGGACCTTCTAGATGTAGTAACGGAATTTGAGTATACTTTACACGAAGACCATCCAGTTTACCAAGTGCTTCTCTAGCATTCAACATTTTCTCCTTGAAAAAAGGACAAACGTAATTTTAGCAAAATCGATTGGGACTAAACTTAACAAGTAACCAGAAAATTAAGATAAGAAATAAACGCTAACCAGTTAGAGATTGAAATACTTAATGTGCAGTGTGAAGTTTTATTCCCACTATATGTACTGAATTATTTACTACGTTAAATAGATGCAATTATTTGACAAACAACACCACTAAATAATTTGAGAAATTAAACCAAATTTAGAAATGACTTCATACTGGTGCATGCTAACTGTGATAATTATTTTAAGGTTGTGAAAACTAGTTCTATGGTTAATAGACAAGAGAGAAGCTTAAAAATAATTGCAACTGATCATTTACATGGATGTACTCCGCCATGATCAAGTATCCTTCCATTTTGTCTACTTTGAATCTTTTCTGACTTTTACCTACCGAAGTTACATTCACGAATAATTATTTTAGGTTTGTAAAATTATTGGTATGGTATATGCAAAAACATTTGTCACGGTAGACTAACCTGCAAAATAATTTCTTGTTCCGAACGATCCAATAAATCCTTGATGAAATTCCAAGCCTCTAAATTACGGTAAGAACGGGCTTTATATTATTGATGGGCTCACTTGTGACATTTGTATATTCTGGGTCGCTCGGAAGCATGGTTCCTTTAAGCCCTAACTCAAATTATCGGAGATGTTCTTTAACAATTGAAGCTTACTATAAATGAGATCTTTGTATCGTGGTAATGCTGTGCTGACACCATAGAACATCCCAGGTACATTCTGAATACGTTGCTCTTGATACTGAGATTTTGCCTAGAATGTTATATGAAAGATGAAAACTTAATGAACGAATAAGCTATTTAAGTATCATTTATGAACGTAAAATACTTGGCGTTAGATGTAAAAATTGTATTTAAATAACCTGAGCGATTGAAAGTTGAATGGTTCCAACGTTTCGTTCGGTAATCGCTGAGAGCATCCAAGTACATTTTTCGCATCTAATGTTTTCTACATAATTGACGCCCAATCTTTCCCAAGCCATTTGTTCGAACTTCGATGCATAATCACATAAACCATATGATATTACATTTTTTAAGTTAATACAACATGCGACAAGGTATACAGTTTGCTTTACACTTTTGACTTGATGCCTATTACATTGACAAGTGGCTTAGTGAATAAGTAACTTGAACTTCAATCATGGAGTCGATGACTGAAACAGCAAACAACCTACTTTGATTTAAACAATCGAATACCACCGCCATTTCCACACAGTGTGGCACAAATTTACGCACAAGAACCTATAATTACACATTGTAGCAAAAACAATTATGAATTACCTGCAGGTTGAAGTGAAAAAATTAATTCCGTCACATAGGCTGAAATTTGAAAGGATCCCTAGACTACAGTTCAAAATTTCACGGTTAGATTTCCAAAATGACGTCTATACAAAGATTTTTAAACTCAAGTATTTCACTAGTAATACATAGATTGAGTAAGCTGGTTTACTAAGAGATTGATTACTTTTTCTTCTCTTGATCTAGAGGATAAAGTGTTCAACATAATAATATTGATGATAGCGGAAAGCTAAGCTCAGAAGGCATATCATGCAACCATAACAAATAAGTTTTGGGTGGTAATACAACATATCTTTCAATTGTCAAGCTTCGAAAATATTCACGACTGAGTACTTATAACAAGACTTTTCCGTACGATTTTAAAAGCCACAATGTGAGACAATGAAATACAAATTTTATATCTTAAACACCAAAAGATTTAGTTTATTCGACTTACAACGATACCTTTACATATATTTTGAAGCTCTTCATTCGTGGAATACATTTCCGAAAAAGTCTTGAAATTCACTGCATAACGACATAAGAAGCTCTTGTATATATTCAAGATTTGCATCTCCTTGTCACTGGTAAAAGTTGAGGGCAATTCTATGTCTTCAGCTTCACAGGAATCAAAACTTTCAGTCAAATGTTCATGGACTTTAAACAACGACGGTATATCCTTGAACATTCCATTAATTACGCTGTTACATCTTAATGACGAAACATTTTGTAACTCATCATTGACATCCTGTAATTTTCGAATGAATGAACCATACATTTAGCTAACCTTTAAAATTCTGATGCATTCTAGAAGTCTTTTACCATATTGAAGCATTTCATCATATACGGACCTGGCTATCTTCCTCTTCTTCTCCATTGCGTCTAAGTCTTTTTGTGCAGTAGATAACAACCCTTTATTGGATGTGCTTAACTTTTCTTTGAGTGTTTCATTTAGAAGATTTTTAATTTTATTGCGCTGGAAATCGAGTGCGTCAAGGAATATAGATCCCTTTGTAACAGATTCCCCAAACACATTCTTACATCCACGAATTTCCGATTCTGGTGTTTTATTTACAAGATCACACAAATAATCTGGATGTAAGATATCTAACTTGATTGATACATGTACGCAACCGCCCGACATCAAAAAAATTATCAATCAAAAACCCACCGATTTAGGTCATAGTGACTTTTGAGCGACTTAAACAACCTAAAAATTAAACCATGCTGTGCAGAAACAATGTATCAGTTATTCTTCAAGCCTAAAGCAAATTCAAAATAATGGATCTTTCGTCAACTCTAGAAGTAAAAATGAAACAAACTAATTATAGTCCTCAAAAGTGAGGATTTTAAGTCGTAAACTAGTGTTGTTCAAATGGTTCAAATGGTTGAGGACGGAATAGAAGAAGCCTCCGCTTAACAGACTTCCGTGTCTAGTAGCAGGGGATCACCAATACCTCCAGGCAGGAACCAAGGTATATCGACGATAATAGAAGAAAAAATGGAAATCGGTAAATCACAGTAAGATATTATCCTTAGTCCTTAAGAATATGTCATGTTGCCTCTTAAAGGACTCCTGGAAAGTCTCTTGGACTAGCCCAGACGGCAGCGAACCCCAGCATTTGGCAACTCTTAAGGAGTAGAAGTTGTGTCTACAGTCCGTTCTGCCAAGTTGTGTCTCCAGTTTCTGGGTGTTACCCCTTAGATTAGTGTTGGAACTAAGCTTATGTAGGTGTTTAAGAGGGTGTCCAGAAGTGTTAAGGATACTGCAATCCATTAGAAGGTCACTTCTAAGACGCCTATACTCTAATGGGTAAAAGATAAGTGGTTGGAGGCGCTCTTCATGAGGTTTAAATTTGAGTCCTCGAATTGATTTCGTGGCTCGCCGTTGCATACGCTCCAGAGTGTCCTTATCCTTTTGGAGTGAGGGAGGAAATACTGTGTTTCCGTACTCTGAATGGGGACGGATAAAACTATTGAAGATTATATGGAAAGTTCTTCCGTCAAACTGGCCAAAAATGCGCTTCAATGTTATCAGTGCAAGGTTTGCTCGGAAGGCATTTTTGTCACAGTTAGAGTAAGACTACAAATCGTGGGTATCAGCACTCCTCAATCTTTTTCAACCTGGAATACTTCTAGATAGGAGTTTCTTAAGTTGTAACTGTAGTCTGCAACATGTCGCAGATGGACTACGTTACACTTTGAAGTGTTGTCGCCTACCCAACTATGAAATCGAGTCAGATCCTCCTGATGTGGCGGCATATCCTCTTGATTGCGTATCTCGCTCCAAAGTTTCACGCCATTGGCAAAAATTAATAAGTCCGAAGTTACCTGTTGAGGAAGATCATTTATGTAGATCAAGAAGAGAAGAGGCCCTAGTACTGAGCCCTGGGGGACCGCACTAGGACATTCCGTAGCCTGAGATAAGGTGGAATTAACCCTGACCTTAAAATGTCGATTTTTCAGGTATGAAGTGAGCCAATCGATGAGAGGTGGTCTGATACCCAATCATTTGAGATTATTGATAAGACATGTATGGTAAATTATGTCAACCTTCCCCTTGCGATCAAGGATGCTTGTCCATCTATCCACCACAGTCAGCCGGTTGGTTATAGAAGAACGACTTCTCCTGAAACCATGCTGTTGGGGTGAAAAGAAGTGTAAGGATAATAAATGGTCGTGTATGCCGTCACATCAGGGACTTCATAATTTTTTAAGGTATTGAGAGAAGGGCCACCGGTCGGTAGCTTGAAGGTTCGCTGCGTCGACCTCCTTTGAAAATTGGCGTGACGTGAACCAGCTTTCGAATCTCCGCTAGTTTGCCTCAGCTTAGCGAGTGTGAGAACACCGCTGAACGGTGTTGCCAGGATTGATGCTGTTTCCCTCAGTATAGCGGATGAACCATATCCGGGCAAGAAGAAATGTCTTTTCTTAGGTGCTGCAGTTTCCGGTACATCAAGTCAGCACCTAGGTTCACTTCGGAAAGTCCTGTGTAGTTGCAGATGAAGCTCTCATCAGTATAGTTGATGTGAGTCGGTCGAAATATCCGAGAGTACTGTTCAATCGGAAGGTCAGCGGCGTCACCGTCGTTACAAGTCAGGCCATTAGAATCTAGGTGTTAGGAAACTCCAGTTTTGGTTTGTCGAAGAGAGGCTGCATAACGGAATAAGCTTTTCGGATTAGAGACAAATTTATCCATAAGCTTTATCTGGTACTGAAGCCTGTCTTCTCTTATAGCCTTTGTGCATATGTTCCTCATATGTTTGTGTTGCCAGTACGCGCCGTTATTATCAGTTCGTTTGTATTCTGCCAAATTGTGCGTTTTGCAGCTTAGCAAACGAAGAGTGCGGTTCTTGATGACTGTAGGTGGCTTGTAGATTTTGGGGACCGTTTGAGGAATTGACTGCTTTGTAGCACATAAAAGCGTGTGCAGTAAGAAGTCCCAATGAGCATCCACATCAATTTGAGAGTGAACATCCTAATCCACCTGTTGTAGATAGTTCTGTAGAGGTGACACATTCAACCGTTTGAAATTCCAGCGCAAGTTAATGGTGGGATATCTTAGCTCAGTTTTGCTGACGAAACTGAAAGCTATAGCGGCGTGATCGCTCTTCCCCAGGGGAGCCAGGATTGAGAGGTTGTCAACAAGGATTCTTCGTTTGTAAATACACAGTCTAAGCGCGATGGTGCCTGACTATCTCTCCAACGAGTTGCTGACTACATTTTCGTATAACCCCAAGTCCTCAATGAGGTTGGGGAATCGAGCTTTAATTGAGTTTTCACCTCCAATATACGTACGTTCCGCGGAGTTGACTCTGAAAAGATTGAAGTCCCCTAGAATCAGAATATGAGTGAAACCGAGACGAGTGGAGCAGGATAGTCCTTCCAGCATACGACTGTCATACTCGATGTCGGCAGTGGGCTTCTTATATATGACTCCGACTAGACACCTCGAAGTAGTAGACAATCTTACAGAGCACCATATGGATTCCTCAAGATTGTTAAACTCGAGGTTATGAACTTGGTGTACCTCCGGGCATGATCGTATGTGTAAGTCTACCCCACTCCCAATTCCTGTTTTTCCGTCGTTGCGAAACAAAGACATACCAGGTATTGCTAACTCCGGACCCGTAAACTGAGAAGATATCTAAGTTTCAGATATTCCTATCAGATGAGCCTTATCAGCATTGCTAAGTTTACGTAGCTCATCCATTTTATTTGAGAAACTCGCAGCGTTCATGTACAAGCAGTTTATGCTTTCAATTTGAACGCTCGAGCTTCTCCTTTCTGTTTGTTTGGATGAGCGTTACGTGAATGGACAGGTAGCCTACCTATACAAGGTTTTCCAAGTTGATAGCCCTGCCCTTTACACGTTTTTTTATCAAGACGGTCCACAGGTGGAATGGTCAGCTACGACTTGCCTCTGTGCTTGATCCTGGCGTCATGTGTCCTATACGCATGCATATGGATTACAGTTGGCAGCCGACGTCTGTTGGCACGAAATGCTTCCAGAGTTGCAGCTGCCATATGGGAGGGTGGGAAAGTTGTCTTCATTAGTCGGGGTCTAGAATCTCCATCCTTCCATCCATCCATCCTTCTTGGATAGTCTCGTCACTTGTTGAGTCAGTATGTTTTTGAGCTTCAAGGATTGCTTGATGAATTTTCATTCCCTAATATCAGAGTTTGCTTGATTAGGGTTCGTGTTTTCCGGTACACCTTGCACAATGATATGTCTTCCGCGGAAAAACGTCTCGCGATATTCCTTAGGGATGTTCCGGATGACATTGCGCTCGGAGTACGGTATGTCGGGCAGTATTCTTACGTTCCCATCGGATTTCAGTAAATGACTCGCTAGCAAGACATCCTCTTCGTCGGTAGCATTAGTGAGTGTTATACGAAGTAGCGTTGAGTGATTTTGATACTAAGATTCCTTTCTCCGAGTGAGCCGTGTGACTATCAAAGGCTCTATTCTAGGAAGTCCAAGTTTCTTGTTCAATTCACCTCAGAGCATCCTGTCATTTTTGTCCTGCAGACTGAGAAGAAGGTCAGGGTTGTCTTTGGGGTTCATGATTATGAGAGAGTCATCGCGAACCGTTATTGTTTTCCCAGGTTTTCCGGTGCTTCCAGGCTCAGCATCTTGTGGTTTGGAGTTCGAAGCACGTTTATGAATCCAAGGCTCTTTGATGACCGGACAGACATTCTTGGGGGTTGACTGTGCGACCAAATCACCAGCTGATTTCCATACAACACCAGGGATGTTCAACTTAGACGGTGACGCCTGGTCCTTTTTAGCTCACCTACAGAGTTTTGGGGAGCCACTGTTGCATTCAAGGACCCTGAGCTGGGAGAACCGAGTTTACTGAGGGAGTCGATTACCGTCGACGTGATGATGGTGCTGAGTTTCAACATGTCATCATTAGTGCCAATGCATGCTTCATCGATGGTAGACCTGTCGACATCCCTCTTGGTTTCATTGCGCGTCTCTTTATGATTGTGATTTTGCAACTTTGCTGACAACTTATCCCTCAGACCTGTCAATGATGTTACTCAGCAAAACTTCAGCATCCGTGTTGCACCCGACACATATCCACTTATGATCGGATTTGCTGAGTCTGTTGTAAGCAGTTGCTGTGAGATCTGTGCACGCTTCGTGAAACCAACCTTTGCAGTTGTTGCACTGAATGCCAGATGTAACAGCAAAACGGCATTCAGGTCGTTTGCATAAATTTTTCATAACTATATTGACGTAACTTATTTTATAGATGCTAGTAAAAGCATAAGACCGTTAAAAATACACTAAACAGCACACTTAAAACGGACGAAAATGGATAAAAACAGTTGAGATAAACTGAACTAGCCTTTACGTGAAGAAGTGAAAAAAACGAATAGTAATCTCAGGCTAAACCACTGGTAACTATTAAATTGATTTAAACTCAAAAAATGTAATCTACTGGGCATATAGCTCAGGATAGATTCTTTTGATCAGAAATGTTACTTTTGTTGCGTAAGAACACAGCAAAAGTTTGATAAATGCAATTCACGTTAGGACTAAACTTTCCGTTTGAAAATCGCGCGGAATACAAGTTCTCGTTTAACGGACTACCGTGTCTATTAGCAGTGGATTACCAATACCTCAGGGTATAC